CAGTGAAGCTGTGGCGGCGCGGAGGGACCCAAGGCCGGTGGGATGTGAGGTGAGTGAGGGGTCTGAGGACTGAGCGGGGTGCGAGGGGAGCGGGGCCGCCCCCGCCCCGCCAATGGCGCGCGGCCGCGGCGGGAGGTGTGTGCCGACCTCACTTCCGGGACCTGTCACCGGCCGCTCCCGCCCTGTTCCCGGTCCCGGTCCCGACCCCGATCCCGCCCCGCCGGCAGCCGGGGACGCGGCGGTGCCCGCCCGGCCGGCGCAGCGCAGCCCGCAGGGGCAGCGATGCACGGTACTGCCCTAAGGGCGTCCCCCGCCCCGCCGTGCCCGAGTCCCGCGGGGCTCCGGGGAGGAGGCGGGAGCGCCCGCCCGGGGCTGGTGACGGCCCCGCCTCGCTAACGCGGCGGCGGCTTTGCTAATGACCTGTCCTCTCTTCTCCTCCCCTCCCTCGCTATTCGCTGCTCCTTATCTCCCTCGCCCCGCGGTGCGAAGCCCTCGGCGGAGCGGCGGAGGCAGCGGGCGGAGGTAGCCGGCCCAGGGAGATGCTGTAGCGGCTCCCGCTGCGCGCTCGGCTCGGCGCCGGCCGCCGGCTGCGGGGACCGGGCCCAGGGCTGCGGGACGGGCAGAGCCGGCCCAGCGCGGGCGGGCGGAGGTAAAGAGCCAGCCTGGGAACCCCGGGGGAGCGGGGAACGGGGGGGTGCGATGTCCCGTCACACAGGGTGCTGCTTGGCAACTGTCATGTGTCCTAAACGGGGCACATCTGGATTGTCCTTAACCTGGAATGAACTCGGGCACTGGGCAGAAAGTACGAGCCTGGAGGTTCCCGCTGTTGGCTTGGCTGGGCCAGGCGGGTTGTGCTGTTCCCGGTCGGCCGCTCGGAGGGAAGCCCTCTGTCCTAGGAGTGGGGGCTCTCTGGTTTGGTGAGTTCTTGGTTGTCCCTCCGGGGCTGGCCACTTGCTCTTCAGAAGGCATTCCAGAAGTACTGATGGAAAAGAGCGCGAAGACGTATTGCCTTGTATTGATATTAAGATTGGCACAGTCTCAGTAACACGGGTAGCTGTTCCTAAGCTCGCTGAGGGAAGTAGTATGAGTACAGGATTCATCAGACACGATTATCTGGAATGATAATGTCTGGCACTTTGGTGGCATTGGATGTCTTAGTAGTACTGCACTAATAGGGGTGTCACATAAGTTTTGTTGTGAAGGAAAGTGGTGGTCAAACTGCACTTGTGTTACAGAACATGCACAGATTTTCTCATTGGCATCCTGCACTGATCACTTTTAGATATTTCCTTTGCAGGCAGCAAAGCTGATCAGCTATAAAAACTGTTTCCTTTATGAATTCTGAATCCCTGACTGAGCACTGAGGTTACCTGGTCTCATGCTGGAACCAAGGGCAGTTGTGGTTCATGTGATGTGGTCACACGTCTGCTCAAAGCTAAACCAGTGTCATAACCTTTGTTAGCTGGTGTGAGCTGCCAAGGGGCCATCAGCTCCTAGTTAATTTAGTGGCAGATTTGGGGATTTTGAGTAACATGATGTGGTGTTTTGGAAGGATGAGGGTGTGCAGACCTTATCAGAAGTTTGTGGAACTGTGCAGGCAGCATGCACCCTCCCTTTTCCCATGTTTGGAAGGAACTCTTAGTGTGGTCCAAAAAAAATTCTTATCAATCTTTTGCTACTTTATATTGACTGTCATCCTCTGCAGTCAGGTGCACAGGGAGTTCTGGCTACCTACTGCAAACCTGCACATCCCAAACACCTGGTGGTTTTGTCACTTGCTTTTCAGTGGTTCTTTAAGGTCTTCGTTTCCTGTTAATCCTGTAGTCTTCATAAATGCTATAATGAATTTTAAACCATGGGAGAGAGGGTTACATTTCAGTTGTGATTTCGTCCAGTTATGCTTTTAATATTTCACGTGTGGAGTGTTATAAAAATACTAGGGGAAATTATGTCCTACAGGAGAGTAGGATATATGGCCTAAGGTATTTATCTTGTTCTAGAATATGGATTATAATGCTCACTGTTGTCCCAAGATGGACAAGGAGGGCAAAGGAATTTTTCTTAGTATTTTTTCTTTTTAGAACAGCTTGTACTTCAAAATTGCAAACAGCACTATTTTTCTCTTTAGTTTATTGTAGCTTTCCTGCTGAGATTTGAGTTCTGTTTTTCTTGCATATTTTTGCAAGGGGAAAAAAGGGGACACCATACTTGTTTCGGAAGATAAATGAATTCATATTTATTATATGTTCAAGCATACTTTCTTAAAGAATTTTGGAATTTTAACTTTCTTTTAATCTGACTGCTCTTTCAAAATCTCCCCAAATCTTTAATTTTTTGCATTTTAGAGGTATGTATAGTTTTTGTTGTTGTTGTTTTTAATGGACCTTGTAAAGTATATAAAAACAAAATCTGTACCTTTGGGGGTGTAAATGGTACTTAAAAGGCCCATTGCAAAGACATCTTATGCCCCTTGGAAACCATAACAGTTTGTCCATTGAAAGACTTGGACGTTTGTGGGAATGCTCCTTATGAGTAAAAGTATTTTGCTTTATAACAGATAATTAAAATAGCACAGAGCTTTCACTATAATATTCTTAGTTGAGTGGTTTTGAATTTTTCTAGTATGAAGAAAAAAGATCAGAATGATATTGGGATATACTAGTCATATTCCCTAGTTAGCTAAATGTCAGTGTGGTCCTGCTGTAAAACTAGTGATGTATTAAAAGCCTCAATCATTTAAAATGTAATTTTAGCCCAAGTGAAATGACAGCGTTTTTTTCCTGCAGAGGCATTAAGGAATATTTTTTGAAAAGCCTTAAATTACATCATCTCAATATAAAATCAGAATAGTAAGCTTTGGGAAATTTTGTTGACTCTTTATTTTTACTTTTTTAAGAAAGGATGTCAGCAGCTTTTTATTGATGAAGAACCACTTGTTATCACCAATGTGCACATGAAATGGAAAGGGAACAGATTCTGGAAAACAACTTCTGTTACAGCCTTGCAAGATACTACCTGAAGTGGTGAGTACATATGTGGGCTGGAGGCTGTCCTGGCATTGTTCTTGAAGAGCCAGGGAAGAACAAACATTTGGGGTAGAATCGCTGTCAGGAGTGATTAATGTACAGTCAACTGACAAGGAAAGAAATCTGAGCAAGCAGTGCCAATAAATAATTGATAAACAGAAAGCAGTAGCACAATCAGGAGAGCAGAGGAAGTAAAACTTCCTTATGTTCTGATATCTACTATGGTCTTAGACAATAGTTATTAGAATTCTGAATTCTTAATATTTTAGAAGTAGAGTGATCAGGATTTCACTGTCAAATTAAATATTGAACAACTTGTTATGAAGCAGAATGCTGATTTTTTTCACTGAATTAAAAAGTATTTATCTGGTAGGGTTAGGCTCTAAATCATCAAAGTAAAACTAAAATCTCTGAAAGAGTGTGATATTTGGCATGTCTTAAAAACATTGAATTGATATGAGAAGATTGTTGTGTGACCAGATTGCATGTGGCATTGAGATGTTGCCAAGTCTGACTCCACTTCCTCATACCAGTTCTCATAGTTTCTGCTTATGAAACAGTATTTATTTATAAGTGCATTGCATGTGTCTTTAAATATCTAGGAAGTGTAATTTCTGTGTCCAGTGAAGGGCTTCTCGTGCACAGATTAATACAAATTATAAAATACAACTCATTGGCATTCCAGTGCTGACTGAGGCTTGAGTTGTTACGTGAGTAGTTTGTGTGGGTCTTTGCTGTGTCTTAAAATGCACATGGGGTTGAATTTTTTTTTACTTTGGAGATTGAAAGATGCAAATTACCAAAGAGGCAGAATTTGTTCTCTGGTACGATATTCCTCTAAATTTATTGGTTTAAGTTCAATTTGTCTTGTGCCTGTGGAAACACTAGGAGTGGCCAGCATTTGGCAAATTACCCATTCCTTTCTAGAAATGCTGATATACTATCATGGCTTTTAAAAAATATATAAACTGGGAAATTACTCACTTAATCTTTCCAAATAGTAAAATAAACTTGTTCAAAAATGTGTCTGCCTTGAGAAACTCAGAGGAGTGAGCAGCTACTGAAGTTGTTTCCAGGCAGATGAAATACATGTGAAAGTGAATTAGTCCAATATTTTCATATTTCATTTTTTGGTATCTCATTAGTTTGTTTTCAGTTTGTTGGTAAGTACATAGAAGGAAACCAGAAATGCTGTTTGGTGTGCAAATGAAGTGCAGGTTGAGTAACACCTTACTCATCTGTGAGTGTATAATATCCTGGAGCTGAGAGAATGTGTCATTATGGATAGCTTAGAGTTTGGTGTATTTTACATTAAAAAAATGGTACCATAATAGCTTACTGTTATTTATATTTAACAAAAAAAAAAAAGGATCGTAAAAATTGATCATCTGAAACTATTTCACAGCCTGTGATTAAGGTTTGGAGGCAGGATTACTGTTTTGTTGTATATATCCATGCAGCCAGCACTGTTAGGCTGAATGAATACTGTTATTTGCATACAGGCTTGTATTGCCATTCTTTTTTTTTGTTACACAAATAAGTGCTACAGGCCTGTTCTGTTGTAAATAATTATTTACCGGAAATGATTGATATAACAAATCACAGAACAAACCACTGAATGTGAATGTTCAGAAGGTAAGAAGAACTTTTGTCCGTTTGCAACACCTATTTGGAAGTGAAGACTTGAATTAGTGATGATATGTCCTAACCTGCTGTTAGTGTTACTGCTTCAGCAAGAATGGTATGAAGTACCTGACACTGGAGTCGTGGGGCAGGGTGTCATCAAACAAAAGAACTCCCCCCCATCTTTATGCAGCATGTGTGAGGGGGAGGGCGAGGGGGAAAGTGGGCCTCGTGTCAGGAGACTTCTTTGGAGACTCCTGCATTCATCAGCAGGCAGTGCCTGGTGGCTTTCTGGCCTAGGGCTGGGGAATGCTCCAGCACAGATGTCCATTAATGCACTCACTCTGATGTTAAAATAAAATTAATTGCAGCCCAGAGGTCATAGTGACTATTGTTGCCTCGTTGGCAATTTTCAGGGGAAGATTACAATATGTATATATATATATATAGTGAAATTTATTTATTCTTACCCCCCTCAGGATAAAAGACTGCTGTGTGCAATTAAGCAGGCCAGACTGATCAAATCAGGCAGCAGCCTTGGTACCTTGAAAGTAAGAGACAAGCAGCAGAGGATACTGCCTTTGAAAAAAGCAGCAGCTGTACCTGTTGTGTTCTGTGCTGCCACACAGACATAAGTGCACATAAACATGCCCGTGTTTTCAAAACACTGTCAAATGTTCAACTTAAATGTACATTTTGGGCACCCAATTCTCAGCATACTGAGCTGCCATAATTCCAGCTGAATTTACAAGGAGTTGCATTTTCTCAAGATTATAAGTCCTGTAATAAATCCTGTGGAAATGTAGAAGTGATTAGCCTTTAAGAATACAAATTGTTCAGTTTGCAGCTTTCATTCATTCGATTTCTCTTTTACATGGCGGGGTGTGTGTGTGTATGAATGAGCACATAAATGCAAAAAGGACAGAAAATAGGATGTCTTCTCTCTCTGTTGTTCCTGATAGCCCTGCAGATATAGACTGCAGCAAGAAATGTGGTTACAGAGTGTGATAGATCTGATCTAGGCCCCTTCTTTCCATCTACCACCCGTGTGTTTCTGTCCCTGCTTTTGCAGCCCCTCGGGGGGTCTGTTCAACCATCTCTGGCTGTTTGGTTTTCCCGTGTTACTCAGTGAACGGAATGGTTTCACCGAGGCCGTGTCTGCCTGGGGAATAACCCGTGCCAGGGACTGTTCTCGGGGGCTGGGACACAGCCCTGCTCCTCCCCAGGCAGCGCGGCTGCCCCTGGCTCCCGGGCACAGCGCTGTGCTCCCGGCCTGGCGTTTTCCTGGGAGCGGGCCAGGCCGGAGTGTCCAGGGTGGAGTCCTGGAGGACTGCTGACACTCGGCTTGGCCCCGCTCTGGGCTCCCCTACTAGTGCAGGGGTGGCCAAGGGCGGGAGCCAGCGCGGGCACGGGGGGTGGCGTGGCTGGGAAGGGAGGAGCGAGAGGGAAGGTGCGGGGACCTGTGGAAGGGATGTCCTTGTGATTTGAGGGAGCTCTTACGTTACTTAAGCTTGTCTAAGTACCCTTGAGGTAACATTATTTTGCAATCAATGACTCAGTTTGGCTCTGCAGAGAAATACTGTGTCCCCATAACTGCTCTTTCAAAGTCTGTTTCAAGCCGGCTGAAATGCCTTACAAAGTGAAGTAAAACTGGAATATGAAAGTACATATATTGCTTTTTAAACAGGCTTTCTTATCCTGGCTGTTTCCCTGGACTCATGTTTTAGTTCCACCTTTCTGCAATTCAGATGCTTCCTCAGTTAAAAGGAGTGGGGTGGCAATGCTGGTATTGCTGTTAAACTGGTAACCAGACACCCTTCGTGTCGTGGGAGGGATGAGCTGGGAAAATAATGGCAGGAAAATAATCGCTTATGTTTTAACACTTTTGGATCTCGGAGGAGCGTGGGGCTTGTGATCTCCATACTGTAGTGAGTGACCTGATTTAGAGCTGTGAAGTCATGTGTCCCAAGAATATCCTCTATCTGTCGTGTCAGGAGCTTGCAAGTACAAGTACTTGATGTCCATTTGCCAAAAAATGTAGATTAATTGCAGTCATGCCAGTTGCCAAGGCTCTTTCAGCAATGCTAATTCATTGTAAACTTTGTTTTTGTGTGATACATTTATTGCAAAGAAAAACTTTTTAAGGTAGGGATGTCTAGGTTATCAGACTAAAACTGAAGGCCTTTGTCATAACAAAAAAAATCCAAAACAAAACCCAAGCAAACAAACAAAACAAAAAGTGAAAGAATTTTGTTTCTCATTCCACTTTGGGTGCTCTGAGTTGTCACATGGCATTAAATTGAAGTTAGTTTATTTTTAGCAGGTTTTATTTGTGTATTTATTTAAGTGTAATAACTGAGCAACAAGAGCCTGTAAAAATACTTCAAAGGAATGAGTGAAATAGTAGCACAATGAAGAATAAGTAAACTACACAACTCCAGATGCTATTTATAGAAGACATTAGATTTTTTTGTGCTAGTAGAAGAGTGTGAAAGCTAGCCCATTGGAATTTAAAAAAGTTTGGAGTTTGCAAAAGTACACTTGCAAGCAGAAGGGGCCTAAATCTGTTATACCTTGTCTGAGGGTCATTCTTTTTGATAGGATATAAATTCTTCTGTTAAGCTGAATTTAGTTTATCAAATCAGTCATGTTACTCTGTCTGGGGAAGGGAATAGAGTTTATCAGTGAAATAAACCCACTGAAAATACACAGTGGTGGTGTTCTCCGCTAAGAAGGCGAATTCAGGCTTCTTGAATCTCTTCCAGAAACAGATGTAAATTGCTCTGTAGCTTTTCAAACAGTGAATAATCCCGGTCTGTTGTGGTGGGTGATGAATCATGCAGGGGGCTGCAGATGGTGCAGCTGTGCAGGCGCTGCAGGAGCTGGGGTGGGAGACTGCAGGGCCCCAGGGGGTGAAGGAGGTGATTTGGGGTTGGCTGATATGGCTGATGAAAGAGTATTAGAAGGAGTGTGCCAGGGCAAAGCCCAAACTGTAACCTGAGATTTGGGATGGGGAGACGGAAAGGGGGCACTCTTGAGGCAGAAAGATATTTTTTGTTGTTATTGGTCTTTGAAATGAAAGTTGCAGCATGAAACACCAAAGTAACCGGACTTTGTCCCAAGCCAAAACAAGAAGGAGCCCGAGCTTAGATGTAGGAATTGAAGCTGTAAACAAAAAGAGAAAACTAATAGACTTCGTGTCCCTTTTAAAGGAATGCAGGTTGTAAGTAGGAGAGCTGTTGCAGGAACAGGTGCAGATGCAAAGCTGTGGGCTTTTTTATTTCAGTTTTTCTAAACATGACCTGTGTAACGAGATCAGGGTCGCAAAGTTTGGGAGTCTGTGAGGTGGAGAAGTTGTATCTGAATAGGCAGAC